GAAAGGAGGGGTTACAACATCTGCTGCATGCATCCGCCGCCGGGTGCTTTCCCCGACGCTGGCGCATCTGGCGCCGAGGGGCGCCAGGACAATTATTTTGCTTCGAGCGATCCCCGCAATCCCCACCGAAACCTTCGACGTTTGATCCCGAAGGTGCGCGCGCTCATTGGAACGATGTGCGCGGGGCTCGGCGGGCAGGGTGGGCGAGTCGGCGTGGGGGTGTGGTGCTGGTGGTAGGTTGCGTTGGTTATGCAGAGTGGGCGTTGAGTCCGCACGGGCGCGCTTATGTTGTGTTGTGCGGTGTGGTGTGATGCTATGTTCTGGGGGGCCAATCATGCCATAGCTTACGGTGTTATGCTATGCTATGTGTTTGCTATAATATTGCATGTTATGCCGCACCACGTCATGGTATGATTGGTCATGGTATGGAATGGTATGTGATGTGATGCTGTGTTATGGTGTGAGATGTTCCTGCATGGTCCACTGTGTGATGCTATGTTATGCCATGTTATAGTATGCCCTGTTACGTTATGGTATGTTGTGGATGCTCAGATATATCATATCATGCGTTGGTGTGCTGCCTTGTGCTATGATATGGTATGCCGTGTGATGCGATGGTGTTACATGTTATGCTTTGGTGTGTTCATTTTTGCGTTGATGTGTTATGTTATGCCTGGTGTGCCATGTGTTGTGATGATATGTGATGTGATGCTGTGCTATGGTGTGCACTGTTCTGTCATGGTGTATTATGTTACGGTATGGTATGCCATGATATGGTATGTTATGTTCGGATCTGTCATGTTCGGTGGTGTGGTGTCATGCTCTGTTCTGTGGGGGACCCGGGGATCTGGCGGCCGCGGTATGCAGAGTGGGCGAGTCGGCGCGGGGGGCAGGACCACCAGGGATTCTCGGGAGCCTGGGGATCTGGCGGCCGCGGCATGCAGGGCGGAGGCGGGAGGGGCGGGACCACCAGGAATTATCGGGAGCCTGGGGGTCTGGCGGCCGCGGTATGCAGAGCGGGGGAGGGGCGGAACCACCAGAGATTCTCGGAGGCCTGGGGGTCTGGCGGCCCGGGTATACAGGGCGGGCGGGCCCGGAGGTCTGTCCTTAAAATCTAGCGACCCCGACCGGTCGGGTGGGGAATCAGCTGCGCAAGTTGGTTCGCTAACCCCCTTTACTACCCACCCGCCCCTTTCGTCCGGCCCGGGTCAAATAAGAGCTAAGGCTTCTCTCTCCCTATCTCTCTCTCTCTCCTTGGCGGTGCTCTTCTCTTTCGCGATCGCGAACAGACAAGAGCTCCTGAGAGATTCCTGAAATATTTATGATGGATTCTTTCGAGGGGGTCCTACTCCCCAAGATCGCCGAGGGATGCCTCAGGGGTGTCTAGAGAATTTCTCCGGCATTCCTGGATGATTATTGAGGGAGTCGTGTGGGTGTTTTAAAAATATTTTTGGTAAATTGTTTAAGGATTTCTCCGGGATTTCCGATGGATTCTTGAGGGGATCCGAAGGGAAGGGATTCTAAAGGAACCCCATTCGGTTCCTGAGGATTATTATGGGTTCCCGAGGCTTACCCAGGTATCCTACATGGACAAAATGGCCGATTAAACTGACTTCGGGTCGCTTACGCAGGATTCCTGAGTATTCCCAGGGATCCCCACGGGCCCCCGTAAGACCCCTGAGTGATTTCTACGGATTCTTTTTCAGTGGTGGTTATTTAGTGAAGACCCCTTTAGTACGGATTCCTTGGTAAGGAGCCTTTCACTCCGGGAAATGTGAGAAGAACCCTATTTAAAACCGTCTTCTGCAAGGACTAGTTTAGCAACTGTTCCTGAGTAGTGCCCCTTTTAGTAAGGACTCCGTCGACATATTTCCCCCGTGTCAGGTTTCATTCGTACGGATTTCTTGAGCAATAGCTCTTGAATGAGAGTTCTTTGAGCCAGTTCACCTGTGTCATGGCTGATCCATATAAAATAGCACACGAATATTTATCTTATAAGGACATCTACAGCAGTGATCCCTTATTTGGTAAAGGTTGATTCAATCATGCACATTCGTATCGACCTGCTGGAAACAAACACCGAATGTTGGGAACGCCCTCGAAAAGAGAACAACATCCAAAGCGTTGGCGGCTGAAACTGTGGGGGCATCCTCAGGGAAACCAGAAGAACAGAGAATGCGGGGTCGCCCATCGGACGGTCGGGTTGTCTCTGGAAAAGTTAGTTGTGTTGTTGTTGGGGGTTCTTCTCGGGGGGGTCCCCACAGTTTCTGCCACCAGCACTTTGGAAAATGTCATGCGCTTAGCTGTTATGAGGATGCTCCCAAACTTCTGCCACCCCTATGGTTTCACCCTCACAGCGGGGTCGCACATTGGACGTTGGGATTGTCGCTGGAATGTGTGGTTGTTTCTTTGGTTTCGTAGTTTTGGTGATTATTGCTGAGAGTGCTCCCAAAGTGTGCCACCAACCTTTGGGTTCATTGATGTGTTTTGCTGGCTGTTCTGAGGGCAATCCCAAAGTCCTGGCACTCCTCTAGAAGGAAGAAGCGACGGAGGAGGCGAAGGAGGAGACAAGGGGTGAGCAGGAGGAGGAGACGAAGGAAAAGGAGGAGGAGGAAGAGGAGGAGGAGGAGAAGACGAAGGAAAAGGAGGAGACGGAGGAGGAAAAGGAGGAGGAGACGAAGGAAGAGGAGGAAGAGGAGGAAGAGGAGCAGAATGACGAAGGAGATCGGAGGACGAGAAAGGCATTCAAAATTGGTCAAGAGGGTGGCCCACAGGAATCACATGGCCAGCAAAGGCGAGAAGATTCTTCCCCCCAGGGTTCGGAGGACGAGGAGTAAGAAGAGAGGGACGAGGAAGACAAAATAGGGAGAAGGACAAGGAGGAAGAACAGAGGGAGGGGGGTCTCACAATCCACTAACCGTGCTCATCGCCCTTTGTAACCAAACTCCTGTCCCCCATTTGTCCTGTCCATCCATCGGTGAGAGCACAGACGGTGACTGGATGATTTAGATTTTGGGAGGCGCCTGGCTGTCTGAGGATACTGTTTCAAGTCCTCCGCCACTGTTTTGGTGCTGTCTATCACCTAGGAGTCTGCAGCTCTTGCTGTGCGTTGACCTTATACTTCTCCCGCCCCCGCACCCGCATCCGCCTCAACGTGTTCCTCATCGCTGTGCTCACACGTGGTTCTCCTTCTCGTCGTCTTCCTCGTTATCCTGTTCCGCGTCCCCCTTTATTATCTTTTGGATTCCTGTCCTACCCCTCCTCCTCCATCCCTCTCCATTGTGAAACACCCCTCCCTGTCTCTCCACCAGACGCGTCGGTAGGGGGGGCTGGGAGTGTCGCTTGAGACTTCCCCACTTCGTCGAAGCTTGAAGTTCCCAGCATTTACACGGATGGAGGGCGAGTCGTGTTCAAAGTGAGGTTCTTTTTATGGGGCCGTTCACAGTCGTCCTAAACATTTCCATCAGTTACATTGGTGGAGGGCGAGTCTTGTTCAAATTGAGGCTCTCGCTATCGGGCCGCTCACATTCGTCCCACACATTTCCATCAGTCGCACTGATGGAGTGCGAGTCGTTTTCCTAAGGTGGCTCTCGCCGTGACGCCGCGCAAACTGGTCGTAAAGATCTGCAACATCTTCACAGATGCGGGGTGGATCGTTTTCAGCACGGGGCTCTCGCCTTTTCGCCGCGCACACTCGCCAACAAAAGCCCAGTATCAGCTGTATTGAGGACGGTTCCTCTTCAAAATGGAGTTCCCGCTTAAGACGTCGATCGACTGTGTGGCCAGAGGCTTAAAGCCGTGCAGCAGTTACGCGGATGGACGACGCTTCTTTTGCAAAGCCGGATGATCGATGGGCATTTGAATTGTATGACCAGAGCTTGTCAGATTCCTTCTTGCTCGGAGGTTGGAAAACAATTTCGTTCAAAACGAGCTCACGCTTTGATTGCGGCCCCATGGGGCGATCGCCCTGCAAGGGAGGCCCAATGTGCAGTGAATAAGAGCGTTCGCGGGTAAAGACTAATGAGGATGGGACTTTGGGCGGGAGGGTGTGTTGCAGCATCATTGATACATCTTGGGTTTACGCTGGCCCTCCGCCGCATGACTATCACGATCATAATCGTCATCCCCCCCTTGTACTCGAGCGCCTGAGACCCGACGGCTGCGGGTCCACCTCGTGCCGATGAGTACCTGCCACCCGAGCCAGTCACCTTTTTCACGAGACCCAGACGCAGAGAGTCTTCGTGTTTGAATTGAACATGGTGATCCTGAGGAGGAGGCGTTGCAGCAGCAGCAGCAGCAGAAGCAACATATGAGGGGAAGGAAGCCAGGGTGAAATTGATACGGAAATGAAGGGCGCGTTGGGCAGGCCGCGGGGCATATGAACGCTGGTGGTCACGTGAGCGCCAGGGTGCTGGATCTCTTGGGTGAAGCCAGGCGAGACCAGAGGCTGCTTGCTCACCCTCCGCTCTCGAAGTAGCCTCCCCCTCCACCTCTGCTTCTTCCTCATCCTCCTCCTCCTCCTCCTCCTCCTCCTCCTCCTCCTCCTCCTCCTCCTCCTCCTCCCGAAACTCTCCCTCTTCTCTTCCCTTCTCCTCCTCCTCCCCCTCGGTCTTCTCGTCCCTCCCACCCACCCACCAGAAGTGCCACCCCTGGGACCGCCGACGCGCGAAGACCCTGCAGGAGGTGCCTCGATGCCGGCATGAGCAGCACGCGAGCCAGGCTGGAGCAGGCGGGCTTCTGGGCGGAGGTCGCACCCAGTCGGTCAAAGGGCTGGAGAGGGGGGGGGGGGGGCAAGAGAGGGGGAGGAGAGGGAGGAGGATGAGCCGATGGAGGGAAAGGGGGAGGGCAGAGAGAAGCACAGGCAAGGGAAGAGGAGGGAGGGGGGCTCAGGATGAGAAATGAGGAGGAAGAAGGAGATGAAGAAGTGGGAGGAGGACGATGGGCGGGGACGACGATGAGGAGGAGGCGGAGGAGGAGGTGGAGGAGGTGGAGAGGAAAGAAAGGGGACAGGAGGAAGTGGAAGATGAGGAGTCACATTGACAGCGCGTGTACATTGTTTGGGCGCTGGCCGAGGGGTCTGGAAAATTGTTAGGATCTTGTGCTACCCTCATCTCCGCCGTGCTTCCTAGGAGCCCACGAAGGTGGCGACGGCTGCGTACCTCCTTGCCCCCCAGGAGCCCACGAAAGTGGCGACGGTTGCGCAGTTCGCAGCCACCCAGGTGGCAGCGAGGTCCCCGTCTGAGTGCACGTGCCACCCCGACTCCCCTGGACCGCTTGGCAGCCCACGGGAGTGGCAAGGGTTGCGCAGTTCACAGCCCCCCAGGGAGCCGCGAGGCCTCTGCTGGCTCCGCGTGTGCCTCCGCTCCGCTGGCCATCCCAGGAGACCATGAAAGTGACGACGTCTCCGCACTTCGCAGCCACCCAGGAAGCAGCGAGTTCTCGCCCGCGTCCGCGTGGCCTCCGATTCGGCTGGCCCTCCCTGGAGCTTACGAACTGCGCAGTTCGCAGCCACCCAGAAAGCAGCGAGGTTTCCTCCAGATCCGAGAAGCCCCTGACGCCGCTGGACCTCCAGGAGGCCGCGAACGCGGTGGCAGCTGCGCAAGTCGCAGCCACCCAGGGAGCAGCGAGGTCTCGTCTGGGTGCGCGTGGCTCCCGGCCCCGCTGGACCTCACAAGAGCCCACGAAAGCGGCGACAGTTGCCCAATTCGCAGCCTCCCATGGATCAGCGAGGTCCCCAATGGTTCCGCATGGCCCCTGACTCCGCCCGAAATCCCAGGAGCCGACGAAGGTGGCGATAGTTGCGCAGTTCGCAGCCATTCTCGGCTGGGGCAGCGTGACCCCCGACTCCGCTGGACTTCCCAGGAGCCCCACGAGAGCAGCGAGGTATCGTCTGGGCCAGCGTGGCCCCCGACTCCGTTGGACCTCCCACGAGCTCACGAAAGCGGCGACAACGTCGCAATTCGCAACGGCCCAGGGAGCAGCGAGGTCTCGCCTGGGTCCGCGTGGCCCCTGGCTCCGCTGGGCCGCACAGGAGCTCACGAAAGCGGCGACGGGTGCGCAGTTCGCAGCCACCCAGGGAGCCGCGAGGTCTTGGCTGGGTCCGCGTGACCCCCGACCCCGCTGGACCTCCCAGGAACCAACGAAAGTGGCGACAGATGCGCAGTTCGCAGGCACCCCAAGGAGCAACGCAAGATGAGGCAGGGAGGAAAAGGGAGGCGGGAGGAGGAGAGGTGGGGACCACAGTGCTCTATTGAACACGAGATCCCAACACAGGTGGGTTGTGAAACAAAAATTCCAGCCGTTCCTGCTCACATCGAAGTGCAATTGGTGTGCCTTTCTTGTCGCTGGGATTATCTGGTGCCACGTCAGCTCGTGGACGAGGTCTTCCAGTGGGCCTTCGAGCACATGACTGTCCGTACCTTATTGGGCAACCTTGAGGGTCCAGCGTTGTCTATTGTGGTTACGTTATTGCGTTTCGGGTAGAGTTGTCAGTCTCATCCACGCCCTGGATCAATCCCCAGTGTTTGCAAATTGATATTTAAGTATCCCCCGCGATGTCAAGAAAATTGTGGGATGGGACGCGGGCCTATGGGGCTGACCGCAAGCTTCCCCTCACCTATTTACCTCCCCTTCGCAAGTTGGTGGAAATGTATGCGATTGGATGGATGAGACTTCAAGTTGTGGCACTCGAATGTTATTGTCAGTGCAGGCCATGAGGTCCGATCCTGCTGCTTTGCGGAGAAGCTCACGCTGATCAAGCTTATAAAGTTATGTATCCTTATTTGGGACTGCGCTGGTACTTTCTCTGATCTGCAAGCCTACGGGTCACCAGCTCACGTTGCACGTGTTGGAGCGCGTTTGCTTGATGACCCGTTCTGATATTCCGCCCTCATTCCTGACCCGGTACGGTTGTTGCCACATCCAGCTATGGTGTTTGTCATTGTTTGAAATTGACGTGGTGATCCGCAGGCCTTGTTTCTGCTCACTTCGCGGTTGCTGTGTGATGGACTGGGCTTGTATAGCACCTCACCGAGGGCATTGCACCGCGGCTTCTCAGCTAGAGTTGTTGGGCCTTCCAGCGAGACGCGTGTGATCACCTGCAGTGCTTAACCCAGTGATCGTCTATGTGTGCCTGGTCTTAAGACTTTGGTTGTCCTCATTTTCCTTCTACATGCTCTGCCGGACTCAAACGGAAAGTACGGTCATGACATCGATTGCCATTGGGGGTGTGGTTCTTGGCACACCCCGAAGCCTTGCTATGTTTCTTGCTGGAACCCTAAATCGAACATATGGGCTCGTATCCATGAAATTGTTGCTGGCATTGGTCAAAGTAGCATGTATGCCCATGTTGCAGGTGCACTTCGGTATCTTTTCCCCTGCCCTGGCATTTTGGTTGACCGTGGGGAGCGATCATGCTGACAGGCTCGATAAGCTTGATGCTCGTCGTCATCTTTTCGATGGACCGTCAATAGAACGTCTGAGTAGGTTGCATATTGTAGTTGGGCACGTGGGAAATGCAGATATTGTAATGTCTCGTGTCCTAGGGCGCCATGCTGAAATGCCACTCCCGAGTCATCATCACTCCCCTTCATCCTTGGTGTTTGAAGCCCCCAGCGGCTGTAGCGATGCCGCCCACGGGAGTTCTGCGTTTCAGGTGCATTGCTTGCTGGGCCTCCAGCCATTGCAAGCTAGAACAGTGTACTAGCGCTCAGTGTTCGGACCATCGTGGTTTGGGCCATGTTGCTCTAGAAACTAGCAAGTTTGTGCGTTTGCAAGCTGTGTGGTTCGTATTCGTCCACGGTCTCGCTATGCCGCAGGCGCCAAGAGTCGACCACTGCCAAGTACAGGCTTGGTAGGTTGATGTAGGGACTTGACCCCAAGCCGAATCAGTCCACTGGTCCCATACCGCCTGCGCAGACGCGGCTGCATGATGAATGGAGAAGAGCTCACTGGAATCAGTTTCTCCTGTTCTGGCATGGGTTCCCCGTCCCGTCCCCTCATGTTCAGCTCCAGCGCACCTCACTCCGGTGGGAGACACTTGCCGCCAGAGCGCCTCACATCGAAGGAGCAAAGTAGGTATAAGCACAGATGCTCGAAGCTCCACGCGGATTTTCCTTGGCTCGGCGCTGGACCCAGGCGCGCGGCGCCTCCCTCTGGGCGCGGCGCCGGAGGCGCCACCCGGGGGAGGGCAGCCCCGATGCAAGAAACCCGCGCGGAGCGCCGGAAGCTTCTGGTTGCGCCAATTAATTGAGTGCGGGGCGACGGGAGTCGCTCCACCGCCTTACATCCGCTTGAATTGCGTCCCCCCCTCCTCCTCCTCCTCTCCTCCTTCTCCTCCTCCTCCTCCTTCTCCTCCCCCTCCCCCTCCTCCTCCTCCTCCTCCTCCTCCTCTTCCTCCTCCTCCTCCTCCTCCTCCTCCCTCCTCCTCCCCCTCCTCCTCCTCCTCCTCCTCCTCCTCCTCCTCCTCCTCCTCCTCCCCTCCCCTCCTCCTCTCCCCTCCTCCACCTCCTTCCTCCTCCTCCTTCCCTCCTCCTCCCCCTCCTGCTCTCCTCCCTCCCCCTCCCCCTCCTCCTCCTCCTCCTCCTCCTCCTCCTCCTCCTCCTCCTCCTCCTCCTCCTCCTCCTCCTCCTCCTCCTCCTCCTCCTCCTCTTCCTCCTCATGGGGAGATCGGGCGGCTCGCACAGCAGGTGGCCACCCCCTTGTCTTGCGTCTTCGCTCTGTGGCAGGCCACCGTCCCGATCCCCGTCCTCGTCCTCGTCCCCCGTCCTCGCCGCTCTCCTCCGGCTCCCCGGGAGGTCTCCAGAGGTCCCCGCAGGTCTTGGAGGTCTCCGGACGCTTCCGGAGGCTTCCGGAGGCCCAGACAAATATGTTCGACTCTCGATCTTCCCCCTCCGCTTCCCCCTCCCGTCGTCGCCGCCGCTGGCGTCGCAGTCGCCGTCCTAGTCTGCGTCGTCGTCGGGGGCAGGAGGGAGGAGGTGGAGGAGGAGGCAGAAGGAGGAGGCAGGAGGCAGGAAGAGACAAGGAGGAGACAAGGAGGAGGGAGAAGGAGGAAGGATGAGGAGGAGGAAGAGGAGGAGGACGACGACGAGGATGGAGAAGGAGGAGGAGGAGCAGGAGAAGGAATAATCATGGAGAAGGAGGGACGGCGGGGAGAAGGGAGAAGGAGTGAGGAGGGAGAAAGATGGGGGAGGAGGAGGAGGAGGAAGAGGAGAAGGAGGCGGAGGAGGCGGAGGAGGGAGAAGGTTGGAGAAGGAGGAGGAGGAGGAGGAGGACCTGTGTAAATCCAAGAGTCATCAACGATGTTGCAATGAACCCTCCAAGCTCCCTCTTCATAGGCCCCTACAACGGTTCATTCCCATCGATGGAACTGCTTCGTTGGAAGACAGCCGTTTGAAGACCTTGAAGCATGCCAAAACACTGCTCTCGGGATTTATTTCCACGCCACGGATCAACCTGACTGCTGCGTCTTGACGATCCGGAATCGTACCTGAACGCCACTTTTGGGACTTGAACACCACGAGTCAACATATCTGTTGCACCCGCATAATCCTGAATCCTTCCAAAACACAAGTTCTGATACGCTGATCAGGGACATCCGTAAACTCTTGCAACTGTTTAGAATTAGTGTGCGCCGCGTCAAGGGGAGAGCCACATTTTGAAGAGGAACTGCCCTCAATCCGTGAATCTGCTTCAGTATTTTCAACAAGCGAATGTGCGCGGCGCTAAAGCGAGCTACATGTTGAAAACCACCCGCCCTCAACCCGTGAATTTCTTGCAAATGTTTAAAACGAATACGCGCGGCGCTAAGGCGAGAGCCACTTTTTGAAAACCACCCGTCCTCAATCCGTGAAGCTCTTGCGAATGTTAAAAACGAATGTGCGCCGCGCGAGAGGGAGAGCCACATTTTGAAAACGACACGCCCTCCATGTGTGAAACTGTTGTCACTGTTTAAGTTTCAGGGTCGTAAATGGTGAGGAAATCTCAGGCAAAACGCCCGGCCCGCCCTAAAAACTGGCTTCGGGGTGCGACAGGGAGAAGTTATTCATCAGGAAAAGGAATGGAGGGAGGAGGAGGGAGAATGGAGGAGGAAGGGAGGAAAGAGGAGGGAGGATGGGGGAGGGAAAAGGGAGGAAGGAGGAGAGAGGAGGGAGGAAGAGGAGGAGGAGGAAAAGGAAGGAGAGGCTGAGAGATGGAGGGAGGAGGAGGGAAGAGCAAGAGGAGGAGGAGCAGGAGAAGGGAGAAGGAAGGAGGAGGGAGAAGGAGCAGGAGGAGCAGATGCAGAAGCAGGAGCAAGAGGACGAGGACGAGGAGAAGTAGAAGGATAAGGAGAAGGGACAAGAGAAAGAGAAGGAGGGAAGAGGAGCAGGAGGAAGAGAAGGGGGAGGGGGAGGAGGAGAAGGGAGAAGGAGGAGGAGGAGGAGGAGGAGGAGTTGATTGTGGAGGGAATTGTTGGCGGAGTTTGCGGCGGGGAGTTTTAACCTGACCCTGAGGGCGGGCACGATCCCGGGCATCTCTACACAGGCCCAAGCGGCTGCGAAGCACTAGCGCTACGCAAAACACGGGCATACCTCGGCCCATCCTTGTTCCCAGGGCATTATTACATTGGCGTTGCCATTTTCTTGAACGTTTATCCACCCGTCATTGAAAGTAGGTATTTCTGGAGTCCCAGATTTCAATGTATTTAAATTTACTTCATAGTTCAATGATCGAGTGGCTTCACCTTTTCCATCCTCCCTAGGGGGCGGGCGGAATCCAATCTACTTTCAATGTCTTCCTACTTCATGTTTCTACCTACTTCTTCCGACCGATGGGTAGAGCATTGTAGCATCATGGGGAGGGGTCTAGTTTGAGATGAGAGTAGGTGGTGGGGGGAGGTGATCGCGCGCACCACGCCACTTAGGAGTTTTATTGATTCCTGCATGCCCGAGCGGCTGTGAAGCACTAGCGCTGCGCAAGGCACGGGCATATTTTCATCGGTCCATCCTTGCTGCCAGGGCATGATTACATTGGCCTTGCCATTTTCGATGAACGTTTAGAGCATTGTAGCATCATGAGGTGGGGATATACTTTGAGAGGAGAATAGGTGGTGGGGGAGGTGATCGCGCGCACCACGCCACTCAGGGAATTGATTGACTCCTCCCTGCCCTAGTGCCATACCGATGCGATAGTCTTACTCCAGCAGCGAAGATTGCCCTCGAGGAGGGCCTTGATGGAGGGGTGGAGGGAACATGATGCGGGGAGGGTGGGCCAGGTCCTTGACGCTGGGTTTACTCTTGATCTTCGCTCTAAGTATTAAGCTTCTCTCGCCTGTTCCACGCTCTTTCCAGCACTACTGCCGCACTTCACGCTTTCATCCTCTCGTTCTCATTATCTAGAGATTTGTTGTTGCGTCCGTTCCTGTAAAAGCTCGAGTTGTTGAGGAGCGCAACAGCTTCGATGCTTGTGTATGGCCAACGTAAAAAAGGAGAAGGAGGCGTCCTTTCTTAGGGAGCTGCGCACTCGGGAAAGGGGCTTCTGCGGGGTCGCGGGTCTCGGTTCGTCTTCCTCGTGCGTTCCTCGTGCGTTTTGCTGGATTCGGCCCGGGCGCAGGCACCCCCACAGGATGCACATGCTGCCAGCACACGATGCCCCGCCTTGGATTTAGAGACAAGACAATTCCTTCCCAACCCCATCCCCCAACCACGAGGGCAGCACGTAAGCAGAAGCAGGAGATCGCTTAGCCCTCCCTCGCCGTCGCCCCTCCGCCGTGCGCCGCCCCCGCAGGCGGAGCAGGCGATCTCCACGCTGCGCGCCGGCGCCTCGAGCCACCAGGAGGCCCCCGGCTCGGCCGAGCGGCGCGGTGCTCCCGCAGGATCCCGGATCGGTCACCCACAACGACGGGAGGTCTCTTCCTCCTCATTCTCCTCCTCCTCCTCCTCCTCCTCCTCCTCCTCCTCCCCCTCCTCCTCCTCCTCCTCCTCCTCCTCCTCCTCCTCCTCTCCTCCTCCTCCTCCTTCCTCCTCCTCCCCCTTCCACTCCTCCCCTCTCCCCCTCCCTCCTCCTCCCCTCCTCCTCCTCCTCCTCCTCCTCCTCTCTCCTCCTCCTCCTCTCCTCCTCCTCCCCTCCTCCTCCTCCTCCTCCTCCTCCTCCTCCTCCTCTCTCCCTCCTCCTCCTCCTCCTCCCCCCTCCCCCTCCCCCTCCTCCTCCTCCTCCTCCCTCCTCCCTCCTCCTCCTCCCCTCCTCCTCCTCCTCCCCTCCTCCACCTCCCCCCTCCCCCTCCCCTCCCCTCCCCCCTCCTCCTCCTCCTCTCCTCCTCCTCCTCCTCCCTCCTCCTCCTCCTCCCACCTCCTCCTCCTCCTCCTCCTCCTCCACCTCCTCCTCCTCATCCTCCTCCTCCTCCTCCTCCTCCTCCTCCTCCTCCATTCCTTTTCCTCATACGTAACTTCTCCCTGTCGCACCCCCAGGCCAGTTGTTTTGGCGATCTGGGCGTTTCGCCTGAGACTTCCCCACCACGTATGACCCTGAAGTTTAAGAAACGGCAACAGCTTCACAGATGGAGGACGGGTCGCTTTCGAAATATGACTCTCGCCTTAGCGCGGCGCACATTCGTTTTACAATTTGCCAGAAATTCACGGATTGAGGGCGGCTGGTTTTCAATAGGTGGCTCTCGCCTTAGCACCGCGCACATTCGTTTCAAACATTTGCAAGAGCTTCACGGATTGAGGACGCGGCTTTCAAAATATGGTCATCGCTTTAGCGCCGCGCACATTTGTTGTAGAACATTGCACGAGCTTCACGGATTGAGGGCGAGCTGTTTTCAAAATGTGTATCTCGCGTCAGCGCCGCGCACATTCTTGTTAAAAACTTGCACGAGTTTCACAGATTGAGGGCGGGTGGTTTTCAAAATGCGGTTCTCGCCTTAACGCCGCTCACATTCGTGCTAAAAACTTGCACGAGTTGTACGGATTGAGGGCGGTTTCTTTTCAAATTGTGGTTCTCGCTTTAGCGCCGCGCACTTTCGTTGTAAACATTTGCAAGAGCTTCACGGATTGCCGGCGGGTGGTTTTCGAAATGTGGCTCTCGCCGCCGCGCACATTCGTTGTAACCATGTAACCATGGTTTTCAAAATGCGGTTCTCGCCTTAACGCCGCGCACATTCGTTTTAAAAACTTGCACGAGCTTTACGGATTGAGGGCGGCTCTTTTCAAAATGTGGTTCTCGCTTTAGCGCCGCTCACATTCGCTTTAAACATTTGCAATATGTCCACGGGTCAAGAGTGGGTCGTTTTAAAATGTGATTTTCGTTTCAACGCCGTGCACATTCGTTTTAAACATTTGCCATATGTTCGCGGATCAAGGGCGGGTCGTTTTAAAAATGTGGTTATCGCTTCAACGCCGCGCACATTCGTTTGAACAGTTTGCAAGAGCTTGACGGATTGAGGGCGTGTTTTTCAAAATGTGGTTGTCGCCTTAGCGCCGCGCACATTCGTTTGAACAATTTGCAAGAGCTTCACGGATTGAGGGCGCAGGATTTCGCGGGCGCAACAGTTATGTTGACTCGCGGTGTCGAAGTCCCAAAAATGGCGTTCTGGCACCGTTCCAGATCTTCAGGACGCAGCAGTCAGGTTGATCCGTGGCGTGGAAATCCCGGTAACGATGTTCGGGCATGCGTCAAGGTCTTCAAACGGTTGTTTTCCAATGAGGCAGTTCTTTCAATGCAAATGAACCGTTGTATGGGGCCTATGAAGAGGGAGCCTGGAGGGAGGGTTACTTCCAACATCGTTGATGACTCTTGGGTTTACATTGGTCCTTCTCCTCCTCCCCATTTTCCTCCTCCTACTCCTCCTCCTCTTTCTCCTCCCCCTCCTCCGTTCAATTTCCTTATAAACAGTTTCTCCTTGTCGCACCCCGATGCCAGTTTTAGGGCGATCCGGTCGTTTCGCTTGAGACTTCCTCACCACGTATGACCCTGAAGATGAAAAGTAGCAGCGTTTTCACAGATGGAATGCGGGTCGTTTTCAAAATGTGGCTCTCGCTTTAGCGCGGCGTACATTCGTTTCAAAAAATGCCACCAGAGTTTGACGGATTGAGGGCTGGTGGTTTTCAAAATGTGGCTCTCGCCTTAGCGCCGCGCACATTGGTTGTAGAACATTGCACGAACTTCACGGATTGAGGGCGAGCTGTTTCCAAAATGTCTATCTCGCGTCAGCGCCGCGCACATTCGTTCTAAAAACTTGCACGAGCTTCACGGATTGAGGGCGGGTCGTTTTCACAATGTGGCTCGCGTTTGAGCGCCGCGCACATTCGTCTTAAAAAGTTGCTAGAGATTCACGGATTGAGGGCGTTTCCTGTTCAAAATGCGGTTATCGCTTTAGCGCCGCGCGTATTCGCTTGAACAATTTAAAAGAGGTTCACGGATTCCCATGATCAACGTACCAGACATGGTGTTTTGGACAGATTCAGGATTACGCTGGTACAACAGTTATATTGCTTCGCGGTGTCGAAGTCACAAAAATGGCGTCTTGACATAATTCCAGATCGTCAGGACGCAGCAGACAGGTTGATCCGTGGCGTGGACATCCTGGGACCAATGTTTTGGCATGATTCAAGGTCTTCAAACGGCTGTCTTTCCAGCGAGGCAGTTCCTTCAGTGGAAATGAGCCGTTGTAGGGGCCTATGAAGAGGGAGCCTCGTTGATGACTCCACTGGTCCTCCTCCTCCTCCTCCTCCTCCTCCTCCTCCTCCTCCTCCTCCTCCTCCTCCTCCTCCTCCTCCTCCTCCTCCACTCCTCTCCTACTCCTCTTACTCCTCCTCCTCCTCCTCCTCCTCCTCCTCCTCCTCCTCCTCCTCCTCCTCCTCCTCCTCCTCCTCCTACTCTCTTCTCCTCTTTCCTCCTTCCTCTTACTCCTCTTACTCCTCCTCCTCCTCCTCCTCCTCCTCCTCCTCCTCCTCCTCCTCTTCCTCCTCCTCTTCCTACCCACATCGACGGGATGCCCCCCCCCGTCGATCACACTTCTTTCGCCGCGGCGCGGCAGAGGCAACCCGCTCGCGCGCTCGAGCTGCCAGGGGCGCGCGCTGGGCAGTCGAACGGGCTGGCCGCACGAGGAAGACGAGGCGGGGAGGGGCGGCCGCCGAGGACGGGAGGGGGAGGAGAGCATTCACCGCGGAAAGAATTTAGAATTTCAGGAAGAGCGCGCCAGGGCGGCCGGCCGGGGCTGCAGTGACCTGGCGCTGGGCGCGGCCGGCATCAACGACCACGCCCAGGGACCGAAGCCAGGGCTGCAGGCGCAGGAGCGCGATGAGCAGGACCGTCGATCGCGCAAACACACACACACGCACGCACGCACGCACGCACGCACCCACGCACGCACGCACGCACGCACACACACACACACACACACACACACACACACACACACACACACACACAAAAAAAACGTAGCAATTTTGGCTCAAGGCTATGAACCGCCCGACGACCGCGAGTCGGCCTCGGTCGGCGACTTCTGAGCGCGAGGGGGTTCGCGCTCTGAGGCCAAAGCTACTGACAACTATTGAGATCCGTGCTGCCCTGCTGGGCTCCAGCCCTCGGCGCGAGCCCTCCAGACACGTCCCCCTCTAGGCATACCCCTGCGGGGGGAATGCCTGATGGCGCTGCCGGCTCTCGCTCGCGACGACCTGGCAAGGCGGGAAGTTCTGGCACGGGCGGCAGGCGGAGAGCGGGCTCGCCCTCACCGCAGGGCGACGACGACCACGCAGCAGGAGCCGAGGGCCTGCTGGCTCGGGCGCTCGTGCTCGTGTGTCTGCTTCTGCGGATATGGACGCCGAGGACCCGATGCATGCTGATGGTGGCGACCCCTGGGCTGCACGCGGACGAGCTGGGCGGTGGTCGAAGGAGCGCGACGAGCCGCCGCCCATCTCCATCGCCTCGCCGCGGGACGAGGGGAAGCGCAGGGACGCTCCCGTGTTGCGCGGCGAGCTCGACGACATCCTGGCAGAACTCCGCTCGAGCATCACGTCCTCGGTCACGACGTCGGTCCAGGAGTCTGCGGCTCGCATGGAGGGCAGCATCTTCGAGAGCACCGCCAAGGCCGCCCGCTCGTTCGCCCAGCGCCAGGAGGCACTCAACGAGGAGATGGGGCTGCGGGTCAAGGACCTCGACGCGCGCCAGGACGCCTTGGAGAGGTCGCATCGAGCGATGCGGTCGCAGATTGCCGATATGCAGGCGATTGCGCATCAATGCGAGCAGGCTGCACCCGTCGCCGTCGACGCGTCAGACATGGCCAGCTTCACGCGCGACCCGAACCCCACGATCTTCATCGCCACGACGAAGGAGCCCGTCGCGCTGGCGGCCGCCATGGAGAGCATCATGCCGCGGCTCGAGGCGGGCGACTTCACGGAGGAGAAGTGGGAGCTCACGGGCGAGAGCCCAGGGCGCCGCTTCGTGCTCCAGTTCAAGGGCTCGGAGGGCATCGCTGCACGGCATGTGCAGCGCGCGTTCATGCAGCTCAAGCTCCAGCCAGGTGAATGGCGGCGATTCGAGGCCGCGACGCCTGCGGGGGACCGCGTTGCCGTCTTCGTGGGCACCGACAAGAGCCCCCAGATGGTGCGGCGCGAGATCGAGACGAAGAGGCTTCTCGAGGTGGTCAAGGCTTCGGGGTGCCATGGCAGGTGGAGGGCGCATCGCGCTCAGGGCGTCTTCTACACGGGCCCCTCCCCCGCCACCAGGGCCCTCGTGCCCAACAACTCGGCCGAGCCCTCGACGTCGGAGTGGAACTTCCGACTGGTCACGGACATCGGCCTCGACAAGACGAAGATCAAGGAGGCGTTCGAGGAGCGCTTCGGCGCGGCGGACCGCGTTCAGTGGTCCATTTAGCGAACGCCTGGCTTGCTGGAGGTCTCACGGCCTCAACGAGTGTGCGCTTGCGGCGTTCGGCACGTGGAATGCGCGCGCCCTCCTCCACCACGATCGTAGTGCAGGAGGGGTGCGCGAACACAAGCTCGGGCACCTGGCGTCGCACCCGAGGCGCGGGGTGGCGATGGCGGTGCAGGAGGTCCACGCCACCCGCGCCGAGCTACACCAAGCTCTTCATCGATTGCACGTTCGCTGCCGAGTCTTCGAGTCGATCCCGCGCGTCGATGCGGGAGGCGCGTGCATCATCGTGCCCTGTGACGACCGTGTGGAGCAGCGTGCGAGGTTCGTTCATGACGTCATTGTGCCTGGCCGCATCCAGAGGCTGAGGATATCTGGCATCTCGGCGGCCCCGAATTCACCCACACGCAATACGATGGATTATAATGTGCACAATTTTGATCTGTCCGACGAGGAGCGGCATGCGTTTCGCCACAAGGTCTTCTCGGATCTCACGATGGCGGATATGGCACCCGAGAGGGTCGCGGTTTTTCTTCTTGGCGACTTCAATCTTTACAAGCAGGCCACCATGTACCCGAGGGCCCCTGAAGCGGACAAGCGTCGCAGCCAGGGCGATGTTGCCATGCGTGCTCATGATCAGTTCTGGCGGGGCGTCTTCTCGAGTATGATGGAGGTCGACAGCGAGCTGCCCACGCACTACGCGACGAACGAGTGGCAGCCCAAGCTCACGCAGATCGACAGGGTCCTCGTCTCGATGCAGAGCTGGGTCGCGCTGCAGCAGCACTTCTCCGCTGCGACGGCGGACAAGCCTGAGGACTTGCACGAGAAGGGGATCAGCGTCCACACCCCTGTCGCCATCTCGGTCGCCGCACGCTCTCACGCCACAGCTGAGGAGCAAACGATCCCCGTCCACTGTATCAGCGCCTCCGTGCACTTGTCGACCGGCGAGCCCTCGGCGTGCACGCACGGCGTCGTCGGCGCAAGCAGCTGATGAAGGAGGCCGCGAGATGCGTCCGCAATCTTCGGCTGCGCCGGCCTGAGGGGGAGACCAAGTTGATGATGTTCCGCTCGCTCTCTCGAGCGGTCTGGCGTGATGATGTGGCACTGGCGCGCAGGCTGCTGATGTCCTGCGACCTGGCTTCTCAGTACATGTCTGTCTCGGGCGCGCAGGTTTCGCTTGTGCACCCCCCGCCCTTCGCCCGCGACTTCGCTCAGGAGCAGCAGATGCACTTCGAGGCTCGGGCTGCTGAACTGGAGCGACGCGAGGCCAAGGCCTTCGACCCCACCTCGTTCAAGATGGTCAACGCGGCGCGCAGCAAGTTGCGGAGGCGCCAGGCACTGTAGTCCCCATTCGGTCGCACGCTCAAGCTGCAGGGGGTCAGGGCGCCCGATGACGAGGGCTACCGCGTCGTCACCGAGCACGAGGGCATGGCGGAGGCGCTGCGCGAGCACTGGGCGCCGATCCTCCAGGCCAAGCCACGGGTCGCCAAGTGGAAGCTCCTCGCCGACAGGTATATCGCCGAGCATGCGCCTAAGCTGGACCTCGTCGGTATCCTCCCCCCCGACAAGTCGGCTCTGGTGCGCGCGGCGGCGCGGGCCAGGGACTCTGCCCTTGGGCCCGATGGCCTCCCGCATGCCGCCTGGAGGAGCTGCCCCGAGGCCCTGGGCGCGATCGAGGACGTTGTCATCGAGGTCGCCACGGGGATGGCCCCGCCTGTCGACTGGAACGATCACCTGATGGCCTTCCTCCCCAAGGGCTCGCTGGAGGACGACCTGGTGGATGGTGCATACCGCACGGCAAGCACTACGCGAGCGATCGCGCTCAAGAACGCAGACTGCAAGCTGGTGGCAGCAGCTATGAATGCACGTCTGAAGGGCCCCGTGGAGAAGGCCCCCCCCGCCCCCCAGCGGGGCTTCCTGCGGGGCCGCAACTTCATCGACAACATCACCCTCTTGGGCACGAAGGCCCGCGCTGCGGGCTTCCACCCGAGCGAGAGGCCCTTGATGGCGCTCTTCGACTTCGGCGACGCTTTCCCATCGCTCAGGGTGGAGCGGGCCGTCGCCATGCTCATCTTCTCTGGTTTCGAGGGCGGGCTGCCCTACACGGTGCTCGCGCTCTACTGGCTCCCCACGGCCATTGTGGAGCTGGCGGGTGCGCTGGCGCACTTCACGTGCGTCTCCTGCGGGCTCGCTCAGGGCTGCCCTGCATCGGGCTCGCTGTGGGCCATCGTGATGAACCCGTTCATCCACCACATGATGAGGTACACCGAGCGCGGACTCTCGGCGCTGGGAGTGTGTGCTGACGATTTGGGAGCTGTTCTCGGACGGCGACAACTGCTGGCGGGGCTCTGGCGGGCGTTCCAGGCGGCGCGGGTGCTGGCGGGCCTCCACCTGAAGCATCACAAGTGCGTGCTGATCCCGCTCGACGGCGAGCTGGACGACTCGGCGATCGCTGACCTCAGGGACTGGCTGCACCGCCACATCCCGTCCTGGGCATCTATGCTGATCCAGGACAAGGGCGAGCACCTCGGCTTCGTGGCCGGCCCTGGCGCGACCGAACGTGACATCTGGATGAAGGCTGGCGCGAAGTGGGTCTCGCGGGTCGTGGACCTCGCGCGGAGCGGAGCGCCACCGTCCTCAGCTACCTGCAGCAGCTCGCGATGACGCCGAGGATGCTGCTCACCAAGGAGGCGCGGGCGATCGCCAAGATCTGGCACATCCCGCCCCAGTCCATGGCGGGGAGCGACTACCTCGCCATCGGCGCGTGGGCGACGGGCCACACGACCGCCTCCAACTGGCAGCACCTCTTCGCCTGGCTCCGCGACCAGCTCGACAACGCATCGCTGCTCGCCGTCGGCCCGGGGCAGTTCTCCCCGTCCTTCTGGAGGACGAAGCCCATCGTCATGGGGCTGGCCGAGGCGCACGAGGGTTTCGTGAGTGATCGTGCGATCGCCCGCCATGCGAGCGCCGCCTGGGCCACCCTCCGACAGGCCGAGGCGCAAGAATTGGCGTCGGGCGGGCGAGTGCGGGTTCAGAAAACATTGCACGTTGCCTTGCGCTCTTCCCTCCACCCTGACTCCCTCCATCTCCTGACCATGCGTAGGATGAGGGCGCGGGGGCTCGAGGTTGCTCGCGATGCCCGTGTGGGTGCCGCCACTGCCCGTGATCGATGGCCCCCTCTGCGTGAGCTCCTAAAGCGGGTGGCCCCCTCATGGCAAAGTGCCATCCTGAAGACAATTTCAGGGGCATGGTTGACCTCGGCACGGCTGCATGTGCAGGACAGCGCGCATCCATGTAAATTTCGGTGTCGCGAGCCCCCGCTGGTCCCTGCCCTCGACACCTTTTCTCACTACCTCCAGTGTGATGTTCTCTGGGGCCTCGCCTACCCCCAGGGCTCGCCGCCTCCCTGTTGCCTCAGAGCTCGCATAGGCCTCAATGGAGCCCCATCGATGCAGAGTGTCGAGGCGATGGTGATGGCATGTCATATCTATGACACTGCCCGTGTTCTTGCTCCGCCGCCCGCTGATGAGGAGTGGGACGGCCATCTTTACGAATTTCGGCGTGCTGCATTCGCTCTCGTCGAGCTCACAAGGATTCGGGAGGCTCCGTGGGTCTCTGCGGCGCCCGTGTGGACCCTCTTGGAGTACGAGCGACACACACACACACACGCACATCGTTGTGTGTTGTGTGGTCGCTTGGGCGCCTGCTCCCCATCGCCCATGCTTTGCAGGGAACACCGAACATGGATCGAGGACCGATCCCCGCGAAGATCAAAGGCTGGGAGATCCTCAAAACGTTTCCTGGGGCACCTTCCTAGGCCCCGGGACCGTCCTTTGAACGGTCCCAGATGAGAGGTCGATCCCGGTGAAGCCTCGGGGTCGTGCAGGACCAGTTCCTTTCACGGCCCGCTTTCTTTCATGTCAGGGACTTGGCATCGCTCGGACGTGTGCAGTTTTTCCTTCGGCGAGGACCATCGAGGAGCATCCTTGATCATTTCGGGAAAAGCCACGCACGAAACCGAAAAAAACACAGGGAATAGACGTCCGAGCGATGGCCAAATCTTGTGGTGCTGGGTCCTCGGTTGGAATCCGCGGTGCCCCGCATCTTCTCACTCCCGCCTCCCCCTCCTCCCTTGTTTATCTCATGGCTTCTGCCCTCCGAGTGCCCTCGTCGTCATCATCCTCATCATCATCACCATCACCATCGTCACCATCACCACTGTCAGTGTAATGATCATCGTTACTACTCTTATGATTGGGCATCACAGGGTACGCGGGTCGTCGTCATCAGCACCATCATTACCATCGTCATCACAACACTCATTATCACCATCATCAGTCGCATTTCGGCGCGCAGTGAAGGAACTCGCATGGCGCTAAATGCGGCACGCCGATCCCGAGGATAGTGCATCCATGTGGAGCTCCACCGATGCCCTCAGCGGAGGAATTCGCATGGCGTTCGGTTTTTCCTGCCCCAACGTCGCCATATCTCAAGAGAGGAAAAACCACCCAGACCCGATGATTGGCGTTTGCTACACGGCTTCGGGCGTTTGCTACACAGCCCTGCCCCGTTCGATTCCTTTTTTAGCTACGTTTGCGAAACGGCATCGCGTGTCGGGGTGATTGTTATGAGGGTGTAGTTTCTGCTGTCGGATGCCGGACGAAAGGGGTGTTCGATCGAGGTGCTCGCGGAGACCAAGCAGGACTGGAGGAGAGGCCAGGAGCTGCTCGGAGAGGCGATCCGCACGCTGTCCGAGGACCCAAGCAGCCCTGAGATGCACTCTGTTGCGTCTGCGCTGCTAGACAATTCATCACCCATCGTCGCTGCTTAAGTCGGGCGTGTCCCTCTGCAGGAGGAATGGTCAAAAATAGTCACAAATAGTCTGGGGGCGATGGGTTGCTTATGTTTGACTACGTTAGATGTTTGTTGCGTATGTTTCATTTTTCTTCCAAAACCTGCCTGTAGGAGGACATGCCCGATCGAATGCTACGTCCAGTCCTCCCAATTCTATGTCTGAAGTATCGGTGCTCCTCCTCCTCCTCCTCCTCCTCCGCCTCCTCATGCTCATCCTTAGTATCATTGTTCCTCCCACTGCGTCAGCCGTCTCGCCCTTCCTGCATAGTCCTCCTTCGGCGCGCTCGGGGGGAAGGAGGGAAGGAGGGAGGGGGACGAGGAAGGCGAAGCAAAGAGAAAAGAGAGGAAGAGCAAGGGCGAGCAGGAGGAAGGAGTGGCAATGACGAGGGAAGGGTGAGTGAGTGAGTGAGCGAGTGAGAACAATCGCGATGCGATCCCGTGCCTCCGAGCCGTTCCCTGAGCCCCTTGTCGCAGGCGACGAACCAGGGGACGTAGAACAGGCAAACAGATGGAGCCCGAGGAAATGCGACAAGGAAGCCCAGGCTGCACGCGAGGCGTGAAATGAGCCTCGAGCCGCCGATAAATCGAATGGCGACCTCATTGCACACAAAGAATAAAAACTGGCTAAGCAGACATTAATTCAACTCGGTACAGTCCATTGCAATGATGAAACCACCATTGGTAATCGGGCTACCGCGTATTCCGTACAAGCAGAGCAGCGTCGCACGGTTCCAAATCGAGGTCGCCGCGTCCATAAATTGCCTCGCCGATAGCCGTTATTAAGTGGGCGGTTTCATCATTCCATACTTGCCTGCACATGTACTTTGAAAGCAATGCCACGACGCGGTGCGTGTCATTGAGATGAAAAATTGTCCAGCACAAACTCTGGCGAAAAGCCGCCGCCCGAGTAGGACTCAGATGGGCTCGAAGCCTTCTGTGCCACCCGGTTGTAGACGGGATGCAGGTGAAGATTTGCAAGGGCAACACCCAGAAGAACATTTGGAGTGAGTGACGTTGGCCTGACAATTGCAACACGTGGGAGACACTACGCGTCCACGAATCACGCCCAGGGAGTGGTGGTGGAAGCCACCCCAAACCCTGGGACGGATGCCGATCAGCGCCTTCTGAAGAGAATCCAAACACGGAGTGACCAGCGAAAACTGTTTGGTGGCAGCCTCTTCCAGGTCTCGCAAGCGCCCGCCAGAACGGAGACGAGCTCCGGCCCCGGAGCGTGCCCCTCGAGCGCCACGTGGAGGCACCGGGCGCCACCCGAGGCTCGCCATCGGCCGAACTGCTTGCGGGGAGGCTCGAGCCGCACATGCGTGAGAATGAGGCGGGAGGGGAAGGAGCGACGGAGGAGGAGGAGGAGGAGGAGGAGGAGGAGGAGGGCGGACGAGAAGAAGCGGGAGGACGAGAGATGAGTGAGTGTGAAGGTGAAGGGGAGGAGCGAGGAAGGAGGAGATGGGCCAGGAGGAGGCGCAGGAGGAGCAGGAGAAGTGGGGAGGGAGGAAGGAGGAGAAAGAGGGGCACGAGGCATCGAGCAGCTCCACTCTCCTGCTCCTGCTCCTCCGCGCGACGCACGACTGCTCCATGTCCCGGGCGCCCACCCAGAGCGAGGCCTTGAATCCCTCGCCCAACGAAGTAGACGAAAGGATGTTACAGCTCGAGCTCGCGGCCTCCCCCACCGAGGGGTTACAACAAATCTGACTGGCATAGGGAAATCCGTCGGCCTCCTGGCCCCATGTGACTGCTAGCGGTCGCGGCACCGTCGACGACTGCGTCCGCGACGTCGACGTGGAAGACGCCGAGTCGCTTGTCTGGCGCCTGAGGTGGGAGGAGAGCATGAGTCGGAGGGGGAGGAGGAGAAGGAGGAGGAGGACTCGCCGACTTGTGGACCACACCATGGATCTCCAGAGTTCTTGGTCCGTTTGTCGTCTAGACTGCCTGAACCGCGCCGCGTGAAAAAAAGAGGAGGCAGGAGACGGGTGAGGAGGAGGGGGGGAGAGAGGAGGAGGGGGAACGAGAGGAGGAGGAGAGGGAGCGGGAGGAGGAGGAGGAGGAGGTCTACCGAGCAGCCATGATGACTTCCGGAGACGGCCAGTGGCCCGGCCAGGGGGGGCGCACGCCGCACCGCCTGCGCCGCCCGGCCGGGCCGAGCTGCGCGCGCGCGGGGCGCGCGCGGGGCGGGAGGGAGGCGCCGGGCCTGCGGGCGCCCAGCGGCAGGCCGCAGGGCGGGCGCGGCATTCTCTGCTCGGGGAAGGGGAGGAGGAGGAGGGAGGGGAGGAGAGGGAGGAGGAGGAGGGAGGAGGGGGAGAGAGCAGGAGGAGGAGGAGAGGAGGAGGAGGAGAGGGGGAGGAGGGGGAGGAGGAGCAGGAGCAGGAGAGGAGAGCAGGAGCAGGAAGAGGAGGAGGAGGAGGAGGAGGAGCAGGAGGAGGAGCACAAGCAGGAGGCACACACACACACACACCCTGCTCTCCCGACCCCGCACGTACGATCCTGCCAGCTTCCCCTGGGCGAGGCGGCTCTGATTCTGAGCCCCCGCTCTGCCGAGACGCTCCGAGCACGGCCTGGCCAAATCGACGAGATGGTGCGTGCTGGAAGAGCTGCACACAAGACGCACAAGGACGTTCAACTCTGGATGGAACGCCACCTGATGAGAGTCGTGCGCAAACTAAGCTCTCACACAAACTCGTGCCGTCGGTTTAAAGACGGCCCCGTTCCACTGCATCATATGGAAGAGGAGGAGGAGGACGACGAAGAGGAGAAGGGAGGAGGAGGAGGAGGGGGAGGAGGAGAGGGGAGGAAGGAGGAGGAGAGGAGGAGGGAGAGAGGAGGAGGAGGAAGAGGAGAGGAGGAGGAGGAAGAGGAAGAGAGGAGGAGGAGGAGGAGAAGGAGGAGGAGGAGGAGGAGGACGCCCTCGCCATGGTCCCACAGGGCCCCGCGTGGCGCACCCCAAGGAGGCCCCCATTGCCCTGCCAGGGCGCCGCCGCGGAGGTCGCCGTTCGCCGCCCTCCGGCGCTCTGCCGGCGGCCGCTCTCCAGGGCCCGCGGCCCTCACGCGGAAGGAACCCCCCAAAACGCGCACGGGATCGCAGGTGCGCGGCATTTGCCGCCTCTCTTCTCCTCCTCGTCCCCCTCCTCCTCCCCTCCTCCTCCCCTCCTCCTCCTCCTCCCCCTCCTCCTCCTCCTCCTCCCTCCTCCTCCTCCTCCTCCTCCTCCTCCTCCTCCCCCTCCTCCTCCTCCTCCTCCTCCTCCTCCTCCTCCTCCTCCTCCTCCTCCTCCTCCTGCTCGCGAACCAGGCAATCCGACGAGGCTTCTGCTATAGGTGCAAGCTCCAAACCGTTGGCACGGCAGAGCTGAGGTGAGCCCATAAAGTTCGAGTTCTATTGCAAGGACTATCTCACATGAGGCTACGGGCTCCTGCGCAGGCTGGTAACGGCCCGGCCCGCCCCCGCTGACGGGACGTTTGCGCGCGTCGTTCGTTCGTTCTGCTACTCGCGACTCGCTGCTGTTCTCTGGAGCTCGTCTCAACACAGACGAGCGTCGATACGAGTGTAACCTGTACGGTTTCACCCCGAGCTCTGCTGGCATGTTTCACGATAGGCATGCGTGAATTGTGAGACTTTGGTGTGGCAAGGTGCTGTGTGGTGCGAGAGCGGAATCACATTGGCGCGGCGACAGCCCCGACGGCGTACCCCAGCCTCCCGATGAGGCTTGCGCCGACATGCGCAGAGTCCCACACATGGCGAGGAAGAAGAGGAAGTCTGGACAGATGATTCTCAGCGCCGCTCATACCTCGAACTACGCTGGAGGTCATCTTCATCACCCTGTATGACGGACAGCATTGGCACTGCTGGTTCCTGGAATGACGCTGCTGACGAGAGCATGATTATGGACATTGCGACGGCAACGACGAGTGGCACGCTCGCACCACTCGGCCCGTCGACGACCCACGTCCACAAAACGCCAACTGCGCAAGCTGACAGAACAATCTTCGGTTGGGAGGTTGGGAGGCATTAGTCAAGGCGACGCCAGCCCCGACGTTCGCCAACGCACGACTACCGATTTGGGCACAGGTAGCAACCACTGCCTGGTACGACCCACCCGAGTGCCTGGACCGATTCGGGCAGACTTATGAGGTCGCCAACATCGAGCACCGGGACGAATACACGAGGTCCAAGACCATGTTGGCGCACCCATCACGGAACTCTGCAGGGAAGTTCAGAGATGGAGCCTCAAGCAAGAGGCAGTGAGCCTCGTTCGCGCCGACGACCGTGGTGGGCGGCAGCGGCGTCGGTATCTCTAGGCACTATCTGCCCGTCCTCGAGGATTGAAAGGATCATGAGTCTCCAAGTGGGCGCTCGCTGAGCGTTTCTCGAAGTCGCAACAAGCGAATAACCAACACGCAAAGGTCACGGCTCGAGCTCCCGATGGCACATATGATTTGGATTGGTTCGCGCAGCTTTGCCATACCATTATCACTCGTTTGCGTTGCGATCCCCTCTCTCGCGCGCTTGCTCTCAACGCCGTGCAGCGCAGCTACCAGGCGGCGGGCGCCTGACTCTCGACACTGGCTGGACAGAGCGAAACCTTCCCAGTACGTTGCGGGACACGCGATTCGATGACCACGCTCTAGAGTTTGCAGTTGCCCACATCGCCGCGGAACAACAACGGCTGGTTTCGTCGACTCTCCTTTCGCACGGCTCCACTCGCCACCCGGCGAAAAAAGAGTTGCCGCCAGCGAAGGGCACCGCTGTCGGTGCAACGGTTTGCCACCAGCGACATTCGCCGACCGCTGTCGCCGTCGTCGTCGCCGTCGCCGCCCGCCCGACCCGCCGCGTCGCCGCGGTCGTCGACGCCGGCGCCGTTGCCGCCCGACCGACCCGACCCGCCCGCTTTGGCTTACCCACGTTACCCGCGCATGCACCACATTGTCTTGGCATCGCTCGGACGTGTGCATTTTTCCTTCGGCGAGGACCATCGAGGAGCATCCTTGATCATTTGGCGAAAAAACCACGCACGAAACCAAAGAAAGCACAGGGAATGGACGTCCGAGCGATGGCCAGTTGTAGTGTCCCGGCCGCCCGACCCGAGCCGCCCGCCAGGGTCTGCCCGCCCGACCCGACCCGCCCACTAGGGCTGACGCAGGCTCACTCGATGATGCACCACGTCCCTAGCTCCTGCCAGCGGCGCGCACAAGAGGGGCTTCTAAGAACCCTGAGATCCTGGCGTCGCGAACTGTTCAACCCGACCTGCCCGTTTGGGTCCGCACGCCCGATCGAGCCGACCCGCACGCGTGCTCACTCGACCACGCACCAAACTTGAATGTCCCGCCCGCCCGACCCGACCAGCCCCGTCACGGTCCTCCTTCCCGACCCGCCCGTGAGGGTGCACGTCTACTCATTCCAGTATGCACCACCGTTTAACGTCCCGGGCGACCCATCCCACCCGCCCGTTAGGAGTTACGCGCGTTTGCTCCATTACCCACCACATTTTATGACCACCCGACCCGACACGACCTTTTATGTTTACGCGTGCCCATTCGATTATGCACCACATTTGAATGTCCCGATCCACCAGTAAGGGTCCGCCTGCCCGACCCGACCCGCTTGTTCGGGGTCACGCGTATCATTTCAACGATGCACCGCCTTTCAATGTCCCGCCCGCCCGTTCGAGTCCGCCCGACCCAACCCGCCCGTTAGGGTCCGCCCGCCCGACCCGACACGTCCTTCAGCGTTTACGCGTGACCACTAAATCACGCGCCACATTTTCATGTCCCGCCCGCCCCAACCCGCCGGTTGGGGTCCGCCCGCCCGACCCGACCCGCCCGTCAGGGTTTACGCGTATTTTTTCGATGATGCACCACACAGTAATTTCCCGCCCAGCCCGAGCCGCCCATTAGGGTCCGCCCGCCCGACCCGACCCGCGCGTCAGGGCTCACAGTGTTTATTCGATGAGTCACCACAAAATACTTTCCCGCCCGACCCGAGCCGCACGTTAGGGTCCGCTCGCCCGATTCGACCCTCTTGGCGACGACGACGACGACGACGACGACGACAGCGACGACCATGGCGTCGGCGAAACAAGGCCCTGCGAAACTTCCCACCAGCAAGGAGAACCGCGGCGAAAATAGGGCCAGCGAAACTAGATCATTCCAGAAGATCGAATCGATACAATATCCAGACAACGATGATCAATTGCCCTCTTCCTCAGTATCAAAGGACCAGCGGAGCGCTTCACGTGCGACAGGGGTTGTACGAATGTGGTGTCGCTGGTTTGTGGAAGGGTCTTTCCACTCGTTGGTTCAGTCTCAAAACCGGTGGTCTTTCCAGTGACATCAAGGTGGGCCTTTGGCTTCCCGCCACAGTTTGCACCGCGAATACCAATAACACGGCAAGTGGCACAGCGGAAATGGTGGCGCCGTCTGTGTGGGCGCAATGCATTTCTTATTGCGCACACTGAATGTTTGCGCGATAGTTCGCCGATGTGCACATGTTTGATTATGTGTAGATTGGTCTTCGCGTTACTCCAAATATTGTGTTGGTACACGTTGTCGTAACCAATGCGGCGGTGCATTTTGTCTTCACCGACGCAGTTGAGTAGTACAACATCTGGCTGATGTGGGGCGCATGCGTGTTAGGATGCAGCTGGGCAGCACTTCGGTATGTGGCGTTGCCTTTTCATTGACTGCACGCGTTGACGATCTATCGTCCTGACATGTCGACGTGCGCCACAGCATCACAATGATTCCTGGCCACGTGAGACACCGAGTATGCGAGACCGACCACGAGAAGTGAAAGAAGACGTCAGGTGCCCCGCACGTGCTGGCCATTTTGTCAAGACAAGCTCACTGAGCATCATGCATGGCTCCATTTGACGTATAGGCTCTCATAGCTTATGTCCATTAGGTTCGAAGCGGTTTCCCACCGGCCACGCGCTATTTCTTGGCGGAGCCGGGTGAAACTCCGTGCCTTCCGCTGACCGACCGACTGAATTGCATACAATGTTATTGAATTGGTTGAACTGGAGGGGCAATTTTGACAACACAATTCAAGCCGCCCGCGGGCGCAACAGCAACCGCAACCAGGAAACACGTTTCAACGCGCCCGCGGCCGCAACCGCAGCCGCAACCAGGCGACACATTTCAGCCCGCCCGCGGACGCAACCGCAACCGCAACCGCAACCAGGCGACACATTTCAACCCGCATGCGGGCGCAACCGCAACCTCAGCCAGGTGACACACTTCAAATCTCCCGAGCGCAACCGCAACCGCAACCAGGCGACACATTTCAACCCGCTTGCGGGCGCAACCACAACCGCAACCAACCAGGCGACACATTTCAACCCGCCCGCGGGCGCAACTGCAACCGCAACCCCAACCAGCCGATACATTTTAACCCGCATGCAGGCGCAACCGCAACTGCAACCGCAACCAGGCGACACATTCAACCCGCCCGCGGGCGCACCCGCAACCGCAACCGCAACCAGGCGACACATTTCAAACCGCCCGGGCGCAACCGCAACCAGGCGAAACATTTCAACCCGCCTGCGGGCGCAACCGCAAGTTCAACCAGGCGACACATTTCAACCAGCCCGCGAGGGCAACAGCAACCGCAACCAGGCATCTCAACCCGCCCGCGGGCGCAACCGCAAGTGCAACCAGGCGACACATTTCAACTTGCTAGCGGGCGCAATCGCAATCGCAACCAGGCGACACATTTCAACCTGCCCGCAACCGCAACCACAACCAGGAGGAGACCGATGAGGAGGCTGCCGATGAGGAGGACGAGGAGGAGGCCGATGAGGAGGACGGACAAGGAGGAGGAGGAGGAGGAAGAGGACGCGTTGCCCGCGTATCTCCGCCGGAGCATTGCAGCGGGGAATTCCCTTTCCACGCTGCTGCCTGTGATTTCATTTGTCTTGCGCCTAAGCGGAAAGACGTGCGATTGGACCTCGTCGCGAGGGGTCAGCCGCGAGCGCTTTGCGGTGGAGATTCGCCCTTTGGTTCGGGCAGGTTTTGTGCCGTTTCTTCCTTCGAGCGTGGAGTCGTCACGCGATATCAATGGCCCCCAAGCAGGGAGGGCGCCAAACACGAATGGCAAAGCCTCGCTCCTCGAGAACACACATGCTCGTATCATGTTAGACCCGAAACGTTCACCCAACCATACAGTATTCCTTCTTTCCTGTCCAGCCCTTACAGCCCGCTGTTTCCTCATTAATTCTTCACGCTTCGCGCATCCCCCATCAGCTCATCCAGAAACGATTCCCAGACGAGCCGCTGGCAGGAGCGAAGTAGAGAAGCACATAGTGAAGCGAGGAGGCCAGCAACGGAGGGCCGCTGGCGCCTTCGTGGGGCTCTCTCGGGCCTCACAACGTCCACGAATCTCACGCCCCCGCAGAGTGCAGCTCTGCGCACTGCCTCCATAGGACAACGGCGGCGGCACACTCCCCCATCTGAGACCCCTTTCCCTCCTTTCCCTGCCGCGTCCGTCTGCACAATTTGTTGCGGAAGCCCCCGAGAAGGGCCCCCGCAGGCGAGCGACGGCGCGTTTCAGAAGGGCTGCTGCGGCAGCCGGGCGGCCGCCTGCCACCTCACGGGGGCGGGTCTCAGCCGCGGGCCTTTGGTCTCTTGAGCCAGAGTAGGCCACAGAGCAGGCACGGGAGGGTCGGCTGCACGTAAGAGTAGGCTTTCGCCGGAGTGACCGTTTGTGCGGGCACACTGGGGCCCGAGATTGAACGCGATGCGATAGCAGCATCTTGCGCGCTCGGGTTTGGCCTCCCCGCGGCCCCCGCAAGTCGCGCACCAACGGCCACTCTTGCCTTGGGTCGCTCTCACGTGTAGTCGAGACGGAGGGGAAGGGAGGGGGGAAGGGTGGCAAAGACGAGGGCCCGGGAGCGACGGCGAGAGGAAGCGAGGGCACCCGCCTGTGGGTCGGAAGCGGGTCCGGCTAACTGCTGTGTCGAGGCTCTCCCCCCCACTCCTTTCTCCGTGCTCCTCTGGCGGCATGCGCGGCGGCGCGGAGGACCTCGCCAGCGTCCAGCGAAGTGTCGGCACGACGCTGAGCCAGCTGGAGGCCAGAGTGGACCACCTGGCGGAGCGGCGTGCCCGCAGTCATGGGCAGTCCGGAGGGTCTGAGGGCCAGGGGGTGAGGAGGGCGGAGGGTGTCGGGGAGGAGGAGGGCGGAGGAGAGAGATGAGGAGAGAGGGAGGGAGGTAGGGAGGGAGGGAGGGAGGGAGGAGGGAGGAGGAGGAGGAGGAGGAGGAGGAGGAGGAGGAGGAGGAGGAGGAGGAGGAGGAGGAGGAGGAGGGGGTCTCGTCCGCGCAGAGGCGCTGGGCTGCTTAGCACCGCGCCCAGTGGTTTGTCGTGCGATGCTCCTCTTGTGGGCCAGGGGGTGAGGAGGGCTGAGGGTGTCGAGGGGGAGAAGGGCCGAGGAGACAGTTGAGGAGGGGAGGAGGAGGAGGAGGAGGAGGAGGAGGAGGAGGAGGAGGAGGAGGAGGAGGAGGAGGAGGAGAGGAAGGAGGAGGGAGGGGGGAGGGAGGAGGAGGAGAGCGGAGAGGAGGGAGGAACGAGGAGGACGAGGAGGACGAGGACGAGGAGGAGGAGGAGGAGGAGGAGGAGGAGGAGGCTAGACTTTGCGCTGCGCGCTGCTCCCCGCGAGCACCTGCACGCACTGGCCTCTCTCGCCAGCTTTGTGTGCCCTCATGTATTGGAGGAGGAGGAGGAGGAGGAGGAGGAAGGAGGAGGAGGAGGAGGAAAGAGGAGGAGTGAGGAGGAGGGGGAGGAGGAGGAAGGACCAGCGGAAACCCAAGAGTCATCAATGATGTTGGAACTAACTCTCCCTCCAAACTCCCTCTTCACAGGCCCCATACAACGTTTCATGTCCATTGAGGGAATTGCCTCGTTGGAAGACAACAGTTTCAAGATCTTGAAGCGTGCCAGAAAATTGTTCTCGGGATTCCAACGCCACGTATCAACCTGACTGATGCGTCTTGACGGTCCAGAATTGTGCCAGAACGCCATTTTCCGGACTTCAACACAGCGAATCAGCAGAATTGCTGCGCCCGCATAACCGTCCGAATCAACATTTCTGCTACGCTGATCATGGGAACCCGTGAAACTCGTGCAATTTGCTTAAGCGAATAATGTGCGCGGCGCTGAGGCGAGAGCCACATTTTGAGAAGGAGCCGCCTTCTTTCAATGAAACCCTTGCAAATGTTTAAAACGAATGTGCGCGGCGCTGTGGCGAGAGCCACATTTTGAAAACGATCCGCCCTCAATCCGTAAGCTCTTCCAATTGTTTAAAGCAAATGCGCGCGGCGCTAAGGCGAGAGCCACATGTTGAAAAGGAACCGCCCTCAATCCGTGAAACTCTTGCAATTGTTTAAACGAATGTGCGCTGCGCTAAGGCGGGAGCCACATTTTGAAGACGAGCCGCCCTTAATCCGTGAAACTCTTGCTAATGTTTAAAACGAATGTGCGCGGCGCTGAGGCGAGAGCCACACTTTGAAAACCACCCGCCCTCCATCTGTGAAACTGTTGTCAGTGTTTAAGCTTCCGAGACATAAATGTGGGAAAGTCTACGGCGAAACGCCCGGCCCGCCTTAAAAACTGGCCTCGGGGTGCGACAGGGAGGAGTTATCTATAAGGAGAAGGAACGGAGGAGGAGGCGGAGAAGGAGGAGAAAGGAGGAGGACGAGGAGGAAGAGGAGGAGGAAGCGGGGGAAGTTCCACTTCTGAGGCTAAGCTGCGGATGTTCGTACCACGGTGTGGCGAGCCTCGAAGAGAATGGCCGGATTTC